AAAACTAGAAAAACATTGAAACATTTTTATCTTTGACTCCCTGCTGTCGTTTATGGGAAAGGAAGCTCCCATGTATGTATATGTTCAAGTGAACTGGCTGTTGAAGTCCTGCTACAAAGAAATGACGCACCCTGTACACTTTTCAACTACTACTTACATTATTAAAAAAATGTGATGATAAACGGGAAAATATAATTTGCTGACCGAAATTAAAATTGCATAGTTTTCTTTTTTAAATACAGGGTTTCCCAAAATGAAAGGAAATATGTCAAAAATTACCAAAGTAACAGAGTACCACTAGCAGTTTGCCAGTTTAATATTGTTCCAAACACATTACACTCTATTGCATCCATATCATCTTATACATCAAATAAAATCATTGAAAATAAATTTTTGAATTCAACTTCTTTTGCAAAAAAAACACTTCAAATCCCTAGGAAAGAAACTGTTCTATGAACATTAAAGATAACTGAAAATAAATGGTATTCAGAGAAACAACTAGTAATATGGATTTATATTCAGATTGTGATTATGGACAATTTATTAGCCAGGTAATATCATTTTTGTTATATTTCTTGCTCTACCTAAGAATTTATTTTCAAAGAAATGAGAAACTATTTTCAGGCTTCACAATATGATTAGAGATAATGAAATGAATATATTCACTCAACTTTTTGCCTACAAAGTGATTTTTTTAGCAGAAAATCCTGAGGCTATATTTTTTTACTTTCCTGGTATTTTGAATATATCACAGGAATAAAAGTTTTTGAGAAATCAATAATAAGAAATTTCTATTAAATGAGTGCATAGTTTTTAGCATTCACTGAATTATATATTGACAAATATTTTGTAAGATGAAACTCACCATCTGGGTAGGTACATTTTATATCAAAGGATGATTTTGGATGTTGTGCTTTCAGTTTTGTGATGATAATGGCATGTCTTGTAGCATCAACTTGCTGGGGTCCAGGAGTCCATTTTTTCATGGGGTATTAGTTTGATTTATTTTTTGATCACTTCCCTATAATGAATGAGGAACCTCATTTATATTATCTAGGAGCTGAAACAAATAGAAGAGATATCAGTTGTTCATATGAAATTGCTAATTTTTCAGATAATCACAGATGAGCAATGATGTAATATAAATTAAGGTACCTCCAGGTATCTCAATATCAGCATTGCACATTAACTTCATTAATCAGTTTTCAAAATACATACATTGTTTGGATACCTAGGTACCAAATATAAAAAGGACAGAGATTTTTGAAAGAATGGATAGGTTGGTATGTTGAATTCACCTAAAAGATACTTACCTACCTATTCCAGATCTACACTGCATCTCTTATACTGATGACAAGCAAAACATGAAGCCTCAGTAGATGAAAAATAATGATGATATTGTTTGGAAGCATGGAATTCAATATAGTAGCTGGAAATAGATAGATACTAAAATAACTAACTCTACAGCAATTTGTCTGTGATAGGCCTTGTTATGGTTTTGGTTATGGCTGGGTTCAATTTATCATTCATGTGTAGATAAACATCAAAGAAGAATGTGGATTTTTTTCAGTTTCAACTTCTGAGTATCAGGTACCTAATCATTTTGTGAAATAGGCCTGGATATAACTACACCACAGTAAGGTGGAGTTTTGTATTAGTGATTACTGCACTTACCTTATGAACAAACTAGTGGCAAGGGCACTGTTCATCTTTGTACATATTTATGATATTTTCGATTTGCACCAAACATAATCATATTATTATTATTTTATTGTGTACTTGTGATAGGGTGAATTCCAAAGGTATATTGTGAGTGTAGGTGTACTTTCTTCCATTTGTTGCTCCTCTGCTGCCAATTATTGAACCTACTCATATCACAGTATCTCATTTCAATCAACTGACTTCTACACTGTTTTTCCAACACATTTTCACTGTTTTCAGGTTTCCAGATTCACTATTCACATTATTCACAATAAATATGAAAGAATTATCGCCCTTTTGTCAATATACCAACTCCACTTCCAGTTGTGACATTAGAATTCATAAAAATAATTTATTATGCCCATATGCCAATTCATGTGTATTTGTGGTTGCAGCGTTTCGGCGACTCGGCAAATACCTATAGAAACCGTTTTCAGATTCGTAAATTTTCCGTTTCTTCCATAATATGATGGAAATCTGATAAATTAATTGTCTTGTTATTGAAATTGAGCATTTTTCATGTCACCAAATTGACGAGAAAAATATGATCGACCTAGCGCCATCTATGAGAACTCTAGGAATTATTGTCAGTGTCATTAAAATTGACATAATCAAGTAGGCAAAAGTCTACACATTTTTCTAGTCTTTTGCAAGAGTAAGCTATTTCACCATATATCTATCCACCTTTCTTGGTAGATTTCAATGAAAACAAAACACAAGCATGCCTTTTCTCTAGAAAATCCGATCTCACTGTGTCCAACATAAGCTTGTTAGGAGTAACCATACCTTTGAAGACATCCATTTCGATGCTTGGTATTACTATCAGCAATAACCTTTCTTGGGAAAATCACGTAAGATTAATTGCTAGAAGTGCATACCAAAAATTTGGCTTCCTGTTTCGGGCCAGCAGCTATTTCACTTCCAGTCCGCTGCTCATGATCTATGAGACACAGATCCGACCTGTTCTGGAATACTGTTCCCATATTTGGTGTGCAGCACACAAACATACCCTGAAACTATTGGATTATGTCTAAAAAAGGGCAATTCGTCTCGTGGGTGATGCCTCAGTCACTTCTCTGAATCACTGTAGAAAAGTTGGCGATCTGGCTCTATTCTAATGATATTTTCATGGACGATGCTCTTCTGAAATATCAACAATAGTTCCTCCCTTGACAGTCCCCGCGAGATTAACCCGTCGAGTTGAGGCTTCGCACCCCTTCGTGGTCACTTTGGAGACCTGCAGAACATCTGTTTTCAAAGACTCGTTCATCCAACGAACAGCGAGGCTCTGGAACACATTGCCAAGGGAGGTATTCCTAGAGGCATTTTTTTTTGTCCGAGGTGGTTTAAATCCTTTATGGACACCATATGGGTCCTATCCCCCATATGGTAGTGTGGGACTCCCCTGACTCTAGCCAGGGTTTACCCACTAAAAACTCCACCCCGTTTGTAGGCTCGTCTGACCATGTCTCCGACGACACTTAGGCCTATGGTGGCTCATTGTATCTTACCTAATGTTCTTTATTGTGCCCACTCCATTATCTCTGTACCTTGAACAAGTCTGTACAAATCCTTCACTGGATGTGAGTTGAATATTTCTGGTTCGCCAACTGGTTGCCCAAAGATCTTCTGTCTTCTGCGGTCCAATGCCTCACATCGGCACAGTATATGTGCTACTGTTTCTGGTTCCTTGCCACATAATCTGCAGCTTGGGTCGCCATTGTACAGTCCCATTCTGGTGAGATGCTCCTTTACTGGCGCGTGGCCAGTCATGAGTCCCGTAACAGTTTTTATCTGTGCTCTGTTCAAGTTGAGCAGGTCTACAGTTCGTTTATGACTTGGTTCCTTAATGTATTGTTTCCCATGTCTGTTTCTTGGGATGTTTTCCCAGTAGCTCTTGTGTTTTGCCTGAATCCAGTCTTTAACTGACCCTCGTGCTGTACGTTTTGGTACTCCAAGAGTCTGTCCTGGATCTGGCTCGTTGTCCGACCCTCTTCTTGCGAGTTCGTCAGCCTTCTCATTGCCAGCGATCCCCTGATGACCTGGCACCCAGATTAGCTTGACGCAGTTCCGGTCTGCCAAAGTTCTCAGTTCCCTCTTGCAATCCCATACCAGTCGAGATGTCACTTCCTGGCTTTCTATTGCCTTAAGTGCCGCTTGACTGTCTGACATAATACGGATCTGCTCGTTTTCCACAGCTCTCCTGTTATTTTCTTCCGCGCATTGGAGAATTGCGTACACCCAGGGGCGGCGAGTGCATGGGGGCATCGGGGCCAATGCACCCATGTAGACCATAGGTATGGGTGCAATGCACCCATTGGCCGAAACGAAGATGTACCTTTGTTTATGTTGATATTAACAACAGACCCGAAACCCGATTAGTCAAAAAACATTATATTCTAGTAGGGGTGATTCACACGTAATGCAGAATCAATATTGCATCAAGCTATCTTCAAATTTGAAGGCATTTGACCTTGAGCCATAAAAAATTTTCGCCTGCGGCGCATTTTTTTTTGGCTTGCCCTAATCCCTCCATTTTGGCACCCATTGGGCAAAACAAAACTCGCCGCCCCTGCGTACACCTCTGCTTGGAAAACTGAAGCGTACTTCCCCAATGAGTAGCTGAGGCTAGTTTCCGGATGTTTGGAGTATACTCCTGCTCCTGACCCATTCGCAGTCTTGGACCCGTCTGTATACCAGATCTTTCCCTGCAGTATGGTGCTGAGTTCTCCGTCATTCCATTCAGATCTGTCTGGTATGGAAACTCTGAATGAAGTGTCAAATATATATCGTTTCGAAATGTGATCTGTTCTCATATTAAGTATGTCCCTGTTCACTATTCTGACGATGCTCATATGTCCTGTTCCTATGTTAACATTGCCCAGTGTATTTTGCAGTCTTAGGGCACCAAGTCTCGCCTCCCCCTGTACCATCAAATGGAGGGGAGGCATATCCAGTAGTGTTTCCATGGCTGCGGTTGGCGTTGACTTCATAGCCCCCGTGATTCCTAGACATGCAAGTCTTTGTATCTTGCTCAGTCTTGTTATAGCTCCTCTTTGTAGTGTCTTCTTCCACCATACCAGAGAGGCATATGTTATGGAAGGCATCACCACCTAGAGGCATACAACCTCCAGAAATTTAAGAAGAACACCAATTCCTACCTTTTTTCCCTTGGTTCTAACGATGTTCTCCGAATATTACAAGATATCCCTTCATGTGGGAACCAGAACATAAAAAAAAAAAAAATCCCTAATGGGGAAAGTGAAAATATCCGATTTTATGTTCCGCTAATTTCCCAGGTATAAGGTATCCTCCGATTTGGAAATCCAGGTGGTCCAAAAATACAAGAACATGATGGAAATCGAGATCGAAGTGTTAATGGCGGAAATCCAACGGTTTTTAACGCTACATCCGCCTGACGCGGAAAGAGATCCGAAGATACAAAGAAAACGCGCCAGTCAATGTAGCGAGAAGGAAATCGACCCCAAGGAATTGCTGGTGCCCAATCAGATTCTGTATTGTACCTTTCAAGTGGATGCGACCAAGAACTGGATGTTTGGGTAAAATCAACAAATAGGCAATTACCTTATAAATATTATACCCCAAACAGGAATTTGTCCAAAATTATTCAAAACTGGAGTTATTAAACCAATCCATAAGAATAGAAATGAAGATGAAATTAAAAATTATAGACTAATCACTCTATTATCCACCTTGGCAAAAGCCTTTGAAAAAATACTAAAGTTTAGAATTGACAGTTATTTTAGTAAATCGGATTTTCTTTCGAATCAACAATTTGGGTTTTGAAAAAATATTTCTTCACAACATGCTATTTGTTACTTCTAATGATTTATATAAATCTATTGATGAAAAGCAGACAACTCTCTACATATTTCTTGATTTAGCTAAGGCATTTGATACAGTTAGTCATGAGGTGCTATAAAAAAAGGGAATATTGGATTTCGTGGGATTTGATACTAATTAATACAAAACTGCCTTTCTGAGAGAATTCAACATGCTGAAATTAACAAAATCCACAGCGACCCGAAATTGTTTGAGTATGGTGTTCCTCGAGGAAGTATTTTAGGTCCACTTTTTTTCAATATTCATTTGAAGTACTCACTACAACTCAATTCAACTGGTACTATACATTTATTCGCAGTCGCAGATGATACTGTTATCCTTAGATCATACAGTCTGCGAAATATTGGTGTAAATCGAAGAAAAAGTAATCAATGATTTTCCTATTATTAAAGAATAGTTGATCGGAATTCATTAGCTGATAATTTTGAAAAAAAAACAATATATGACATTCACTTCCTATAAAAATTCTCAATCAAATTTTGGCACTATGAAGATAAATAGAGAAATTGAGATTCAGAAAACTGACTGTATTAAATACCTTGGTATAATGATGGACAATAATCAAAATGGGCATCATAATGATTATGCATGTCTCTAAGAAAATGAGATGTCTCATTCCCAAATTCAAACATTTGAAAAACTTATTAAATATTCGTAATTTAGAAATGATATATCATGCTTCAGTTCAATCTCAATTAGTTTATATATTTTAGGAAATTGGAAATTGCACAAAAATGGATTTTTGAAAATTATTTATGGGAAAAATTATTTGTTTCCAACTAAACTTTTATATAAGGAATCTAAGAAAATGGATATAAATCAACTTCATATATACAATTCACTGATTCATATTTTCAAAAATGAAAAGGACATTCAGTTCAAAGAACATATATCTATGACATAAGAAATAAAAATAACGTAACATTGAAATATAAAACGAACAAGTCAATTGGACGTAGAACTTATAAATTTTTAATTCCTGTATAATAAGATCCCAGATGATATCATAAAAACAAAACCATTTCAATCATACACGATAAAAATAAAAAACTGGATATTAGACTCCCTGAAAAATGATTTCATCTCTCTAATTAACATTCAATTATATAATTACAAGCATCCAAATAATAATTGTGAATAAATATATAAATATAAATAATAATGCGTATTGAATGAAATGCTCAGTACACTATATATATGAATTATATACATGATGTCTCATTTCCTAATGAGACAATTTTTCCCTTGTGATAATTATATTGTTAAATATTTATCGACCTATGTACATTTGCTTTTTTTTGTTTTTTTTGTATCCTTACTACAAGGTACACTTCTTAAGGTTTTTCCCAGTTTATTCAAAATACCTATCTGTATGTTCCAATGTATATTTTGTAAACGTTTTTGAATAAACTTATATTATTATTATTATCAAAGAAAACGCCTTTGGTAGTTTGATAAACCTCAGAAAAATCCATCTGAACTTCTGAACAGAAACAAAATAGTCGGACTAAACGGAAACCTGTTTCATGTAACAGGCTTTGGGAAGCTATCAACCATTACCTTTCAACCGGCAGAGCTGAAATTTTGGCTGTTACAGAAAATTGGATGGAAAGGCAACGAGAGAAGATCAACGATCGCTTACAAGTGAAACTAGCTTTTCACAAACCAAGATATTTCAGGATCAAATGCTCGATTTATGATAAAAGACTTAAAGAACTCTGGAAACATGCGGAAAGATTCACAAGCCATAAAACGGTACGTTAGCCTGATTTGAAATCGCCAACTACCTACCGTCAAACGGAGTTAAGTTAACCTTAGGGGGTAAAATGAATCAGTCGGGTGTTTCTGTACAAAAAAATATGCTGTTCAGCTGAACTTTTGTCCTTTTCTATTTTCCATGTTACAATAGTTTAAGTGAATGAAAGAATATGACATATATTCTGCTCTTTCTCTTTTCGAAACATGAACATATTATATCTCAACATCTATATTGATATTCGTAACCATTTTTAGATTATTGAACTTCGAAAATTATATAGGTTGGCCATTTTCATCGATACCCATTCTCATCAGTTATTGAAACATCGAAAGTCCAATTAATAATTTAGTGAACTTGTTTTTTTTATTGAAATAATTGAAACCAGAATCGAAGCAAGCATCAGATTTGGTTCATATGCTAATAATTCAAAAAGTAAAAGAAGAGGAAATGAAACATTTTCAAAATATTTCATGAATTCGTCATCACATCACAAACAAAACCAGGATAAATTCACAATTATGCAAAATGGGAATTTTATTCTTTTTCTCTTTGTGAATGACTAGCATGTGAACTATTCCTGTTTGCTTTGATTCTGGTATCGATTCATTCGATGAAAAAAACAAGTTTTATATAATTAGCCTTTTGATGTTTTGATAACATATGAGAATGTGTATCGATGAAAATGACCAAACTATAATTTTCGAAGTTCAATAATTCGAAAATGGTTACAAATAACCAATATTGATGTCAAGATAAAAGATGTTTTTGTTTCGATTTCACACCAAATGGCCAAAAAATATATGGGGTGTTCTATTTGAAAAACCTCGAGACAAATCACTCTAAATGTTCTGAATTGAAAAATCATTTTTTGCTCCCCTGTATAATTTAAGGGCATGAAAATTCTATCATCATCAAATTATATTATGATTATTCTCTTTTGAATTCCATAATTGTGACTACAGTGATTTTTTCGGTATGCATCAGCAGATGACATTATTTCGACAATAAAAAATAACTTTGAAATTATCGAGATACAGTCAATAATATTATAGGAGTTGTTGGAGGTCACAGGGATGCCTCAAAAAATGTGCATAATGAGATTCCATTTGAAAAATGCGATCCTGACCCTCTAGATTCTTTCCGGTGCCCCCTGTATATGCGGCAATTATTTCTAGTTAAGGACCTTGTTGTTTCGCGTTTCTAGCTATCATAGAACTCGAGCAATCGAGCTCCGACTCACTGAAGCTCCACCCTGTATAAAGAAAGTTGGGGTCCCAAGAAAAATGAAATTACAACAAAAAATATTAAAAAAATGAAGAAACAAATGATTCACTGTACCTCTGAGTTTTAAAATGGATATTCACGCGTTTTTAATACCTGATTCGATTTACCCCAAAAGTGGTAGGTAAATTCAATCAGATTTTACAAACAAAAATGTTATTGTATATATTGTATCCCAATACTTTTGGAAAAAACGATGAAAAACGTATATTGTTTTATTCCCTTGGCCCTGTTTGACGGTACATCAGTGTTTTTTTTTTTGTTCCAAAAGGCAGCAGAACGTGAGATCTTGCTTCTGAAGAACACCGAACTGACCATCGAAGAACAATTTTCAAAAACATGCAATCAGTTCATTTTGGAGACGAATAGTATGTTACAAAAAGCAGAAACTTTCCAGAAGTCGTATCAACTGCGAGGCAGTTTGCAGACTCTAGCTCCGTTGCTGACTTCTCGCAAAAAGGCGTTGACAGAACTTCAAAGAAACTATTTCGATAAGTGCATGAATCTTTTGGACACTTTGAGGGCATCCAGTTATCAGTTTCTCAAATCAACAAAGTTAGTTCGACATCATTTTTTTAAACTCCTTGTCCCGAAGTTGTTCGAATTCCACTATAAACTGTAGTTCCCTCTCTTCATAATCCCTCATATGTTTCGAATTCTGAGGAATTATTTCTCAACTTCACGATTTTTCCTCACAATTTACGAAACTGTTCATCCACAAATCATGAGCTTATGGTACGCACGTCAACATTTTTCTAGAATCTAATAATTGGTATTTTATTCTTTCCCGATGAAATAGCAATTTATCACATCGATATACCCATTATCTCCTTACAAGCCATAAAAACTGAGGTTTTAACCTAACCTCTTCAGTATGATAAAATTGTGATGAGAATTTTGAAATTATCATCTCGTCAGGATTAAATTTGACGTAAAGTATGCAGTGTACCAAATTTCAGATCCTCAATGTGAACGGTTTGTAGAAACACCCGAGGAAAAAATGGAAAAAGTAGTCTTCAAGGTGCCTATCCAGGTCCAGATGGATCAATGTGGAAAATTGGGATCTTTCTCAAATTTGGAGTTGAAAGTACCTTCTCCACGTAATAGAGTACATAGGAGTCAGTCATGATTTTTGCCGCTTACTCAACCGAAAAGATACATATAATGATGCATATGGAGAGCCCTAATTTCTAGTAACAATGAAAAATGTGTGAGATTCGAACTCACAACCTCTGGGTTACATGCCCAACGCTCTGCCAATTGAGCTAACGGGACATCCGTCGATCAATCGGCAGGGAGGTCAAGTTCTCAGCACACACCACGCGGCAGAATCCTTCCAATTGTCACTCAAAATCATGCACTATACATTCCTTAAGCTGTGACTATACGAAGCATCGCTGGCAGGATGGTACTATATACAGTCTTCAATAAATATGGTGGAACCTTAGCCGTGGCACCTGATATCTCCAAGGCATTCGATCGAGTCTGGCACCACGGACTCCTCGCCAAGTTTCCATCTTATGGCTTGCCTCCCTAGCTCTGCTAGCTAGTTTTCTACCAAACAGGTCTCTTCATGTTTTGGTCGACGGAGTTTCATCTGACTCTCTTATCATAAATGCTGGTGTTCCGCAAGGATCAATTCTAGCACCAACATTATTTCTACTCCATGTGAACGATTTGTTGGAAGCAACTTCATGTCCAGTTCACAGCTTCGCGGATGATAGTACCCTCCACACCGCCTTCTCTTCCAGGGATCCAATACCAGCCAGGCAGATCAGAAACGAACGAGGAAGAAATGTTGACAACATAAATATGGACTTCTCGACAATTCTCGAATGGGGATCCAATAGCTTAGTAGATTTCTATGCAAACAAAACACAGCATGATTTTTCTCTAGAAAAGCCGATCTCACTGTGCCCAACATAAGTTTGTCAGGAGTAACCATACCTTTGAAGACATCCATTCCGATGCTTGGTATTACTGTCAGCAATAACCTTTCTTGGGAAAATCACGTGAGATCAATTGCTAAGAGTGCATCCCAAAAACTTGGTTTTCTGTTTCGGACCAGGAGCTATTTCACTTCCAGTCAGCTGCCTATGATCTATAAGGCACGGATCCGACCTGTCCTGGAATATTGTTCCCATATTTGGAATGCAGCACCCAAACATACCCTGAAACTGATGGATTATGCCCAAAACAAGGGCAATTCGTCTCGTGGGTGATGCCTCGCTCACAAACTCACTCACTTCTGGAACACCGTCGACAAATTGGCGATCTGGCTCTATTTCATAGATATTTTCATGGACGATGCTTTTCTGAAATATCAACAAAAGTTCCTCCCTTGGCAGTCCCCGCGAGATTTACCCGTCGAGTTGAAGCTTCGTGCCCCTTCATGATCATTTTGGAGACCTGCAGAACAGCAGAAGCAGAACATCTCTTTCCAAAGACTCGTTCATCCAACGAACGGCGAGGCTTTGGAACGCATTGCCAAGGGAGGTGTTCCCCGAGGCATATACAACCTCCAGGAATTAGAGAAGAACACCAATTGCTACCTCATTTTCCTTGGTTCTCACGATGTTATCGGAACATTACAGGATATCCCTTTTCGTGGGAACCAGAACATGAAAAAAAATTTCCCGTTCGTCCTCTGGCATTGTCTTTCCTTGTATACGGAAATGTCCGGAGGCAATCATACATATTAGTCAGTCATAATTTTTGCAGCCTGGTGTGTGATGAGAACTCGACCTCCCAGCTGATTGATCAATAGATGTCCCTTCAGCGCAATTGGCAGAGCGTTGGGCATGTAACGCAGAGGTTGTGAGTTCGACTCTCACACGGAACGGTGGAGTTTTTTATTTCCTATTGTCACTCGAAATTAGGGCTTTCCATCTTCATCTTTGAGGGAGTTGTTTTAGACTGGCTGAATGACTACTTAACAGGTAGAAGTCAAGTTGTAAAAATAAATAATGCATTTTCAAATGAAAAGCTAGTTGATATAGGTGTACCCCAGGGGAGTATTATAGGCCCACTCCTATTTATTCTCTACTTGAATGATTTATCTTGTAACATAAACTGTGATTTCACGAATTTGTATGCAGATGATACCCTATTAGCTATTAGTGGTGATTCACCAAATCACATTGTGAATAGGATGAATATAGAATTGTCAAAATTAGAAAACTATTTTAAAATAAATAAATTGAAACTTAATGTTCAAAAAACAAAAGCTATGATCATCACAAATCCGTATAAGCACAGACTCATAAATACAAATGATATTAGTTTAGTTATCGAAGGCGAAGAAATAAAAATTGTACATAACTTTAAATACTTAGGTGTTATGTTAGATGAAACTCTGTCATTTAAAGAACACTTCAACATGATAAAAAATAAGATATCAAAAAAACTATTCTTCTTTTCAAGAATAGCAGCAGTGCTACCCATCCAAACTAAAATAACAGTGTACAATACTATTATTCGACCACATTTCGATTACTGCGCTACAATATTGTATTTATTAGATAATAACTCTCGGTCATCATTACAGAAACTTCAAAACAGAGGAATGCGAATAATTTTGAAATGTAACAGGCGCACCTCCATCCGTAACATGTTGGAAACGTTACAATGGCAATATGTAAATGAAAGACTATCAACCTTTGCATTAATTTTTATCTTCAAATTATTGAAGGGCTTATTGCTAGATTATCTAGACCAGTTCGTTATTTTCAGTGCAGAAATTCATGATTACCAAACGAGATCTCGTAATGATTTTCATCTAAATAGAATGCTTACCAGTAGGGGTATGAACTCAATGTTTTATAAAGGACTGAAAGAATATAATTCTCTTCCTCAAAGCATAAAAGAATGTGAGACTGTTAGAAACTTTAAAAAATGTATTAAGGAGTACCTGAGGCAAAGAGACTTGCCATGATTATTTTTATTTTTCTATATTATTTAATCAAGAAACTGTTAGTGTTATGCTGTGTATTGTTATGTTGTTTGGAATTGTAAATATTAGGATGTATCCTATTGAATAAATTCTATTCTATTCATTGAACTGTCTACAGGGTGTACCTACTATTTGTAGGGCCTCCTTTTTAGGAAACATTTTCCGATAATAACACGTCAGGAATCACCTCACGAATATTTCACCAATTATCAGAAATGAGCAATATAATTGATTGATTCCAGCCTTGTGAGTGGTCCTAGAGGGGGAGGGGGTGTTTTTGACCCCTATGACCCCCCCTTAGTTAGTGTGTCAGTTAATAATTGTGTAATATGGCCTAGATAATCACAAGGTGAAGTCATGAGAAGCCACACTGTTCAATATAAAACCAAATTTTCAGATTATTTTCCGAAGAAGGCAGTTTTAGCATTGAAGAAATCACAAATCTCCAGAAACATATGTCTAAGCTGGATGAATACGCTGAAAAAACTCTGAATAAATACACGAACGATGCCCAAACCAAATTCACGAAGTACATAGGTTATTTGGATAGTACCTACGCAAGTACACTCTCCACGTAAGTAGAAATAACACGATAAATTAGTAATATTTGCTTCCAACATGCTCTTCATTAGCTTCTCCTAATGAACAAATCACAAATACGGTCTGATTCAAAATGCTGTTCTCACATATGGGGTTCAGCAATCAAACATGCTGATTTCACCTAGAAACGAGCAATTCGTCTAGTTGGAGATGCCACACTCAGTAATTTCCTGACAATATTGAAACACTGCAGAAGAGCACTATCTGATCAATACTCTTAAATTTTCTTATGATATTATCAACAAACACCGCAAATCTAACTTCATATTGCTAAGGAATTCATGAATCCATGAACATCATACTAGACAATATGACTCAAAATTCAATAAATCACCTGATGATATCAAAAGTTGCACAAATATCACCCAACTCAAAATTAAAGTCATGCATCCTCTTGCAAAGAGAAAATCAAACCTGAGTGAATGATTTCTCATTCACTGATTCATTTCAAATTGGATTTTAGATTTTTGTTTATAATATTACAAGAAACTTTTAGAGTATCTATTTTATGCAATTCATCCAATGAAAATGTTCCTGTTATCGCATACAGATCATTTGTTGGAATATCAAATGAGAAGCGATACAATACTTTCAGAGATTTCTTATTTAGTGCAGATAGTTTACTGAAATAATTTTTTGAAAAAGATCCCCATACTTTTCCGATATAAGTGATACGACTGAGTATATGAGAATGAAGTACTATGTTTGTGATTTTTTTAACAAGTTTATGACATTTTCGCAAAGCTCCAATGATTGAAGATATTTTTTGTTTCGGAACCTTTTCATATGCTTGTCCTATTTCCATTTTCCAAGATAGTTTATTTGTGTAGTTCTTTTCAATACTTTTTCTACATTCATGCAAAAAGCAGAACTTTATTGAACTATATTTAGTGGAAAAAGAAGTTCTTTATGTCACTCATCTGTCATTCTACTTCAACGTGCTGTCATCTTGACAAACATTTTTTATATTGCAACTGTGGTTATAGAAACGTCATATATTCATATTGAAAATTGCACGAATTGTTTATTCACTTTCAACATTGGAGGTAAAAATAAAGTTTGAGTTAAATTGTTCGTAACGTATTAGTTTATGTTTCAGTGCAAATCGATATTAATATAAAGTATTCAAGTTGCGTTTTTCATTTTCCTACACCTAGTGCCGCACCTCAATAAATCATTATTTGCTTTTTGCATGAACGAAGAAAAAATGTTGTATGCAACTCGTGCAAAAATTGTTTATTGCACTCGACGTGTTGTCCGACGAGGCCGTTGTCGAGTGCAATAAACATTCACTTTTTGCACTTGTTGCATAAATAACTATTATTGTCACCCTTGAAATTCCAACAAGCACAACTTGAAGGAGGCTTCCTAATCTGTTTTTGTGTTTTAATTCAAGTTTCGAAGAATTGATAAGAGAATTAGATCACAATGAGAACGTGGTCAAAAAAATGAAAAAGCTTCGAGAAAACATTAGAACGGAAGTGATTTCTGTAAAAACGACGTTGAAGAAAATTGAAACGGATGCGAAAAGCTTGACACAAAAATGTACACAAGATGTTGGAAGCATTGAGAAACTCGATTGGTTTATCGAGAATTACCAGAAAATAATAGAGAAGATGCAAGATTTTGTTAGTTTTATGGGACAGCCAAACCTATCACCAAGAACATTCGGTATGAAATTGATACCATGGCATTTGATTAATAAACATAATATTATATTATTTTCAAATAGGTCAACGCTGTCAGTGTAGATCCACAGTTGAATTCAACTACGCTAAAACTCAAGCCTGTTCTTCTTTAAACAAAGTTGTAGTGCCCACATTTCCCCTATGTTTACAATATCTATGCTCGCAATCTTCATCAGTGAGTCTTCACATATATTTTTAACTCCCACCCAACTCTTTTATCTGAAATCTGAAAATTATCGACGTGAAATTTTAAGTTTTTAACAGTAGGGACACCTGCGTTGTAGGCATCTTTATCATTCTTTTGAAGTAATCAAATATCTGATGTCACTTCTGTCAGTCTAATTATGTGATTTGATTTCAGAAAATTGCGAATTTAGTGGTTGTTTCGTAATATACGTAACCGCGAAGTCGAATGGAAGATAAAAGGACTTGCAGTTCTTTCTCGGAGACGGTTTTATTAACTCATTTTTCGGAACTATAGCACAACGAAAGCTATCAACAGTGTATATACAGGGTGTCCGGGAACATGTGGGAAATCTCCCGGATATGAAGAAAACACGTGAAAAGAATACTATAAGTTCATATAAACTTCTTTTGTATCGGCCTCCTCTTCGGAGATATGGGCTCCCAAAGAGCTCCCATGGAATTAAGTTTTTGACACATAATTCTTGAACCAACAGGTATATTTCAATTTTTTTTTAATATGATGTATACTAGGTAAGACTCTTCAAATTACTATCCAAGAAAGTGTTGCGAATTACTCACAGCTCCAGGGACGGACTAGCTGTGACACTCATGGGCCCATTTTTTTTACGCCCTGTATGATAAGAACTCTGGACAACGTTTTTTACATACCTCTAACTATTGACTAAAAATTAAGTACTCTTCATTCATGTCGCTAATCATAACCGTTTTCGGAAAAACGTCATTTTATTTATATCATGTATTTAGCGTAATTTTCCACGGTAACCAACATAGTTTCAATAAAAAGTTGAACTTTAACTGCTTAGTTAAAAACTTCGTAACAGGGTTCAACATGGGCTCCATGAAGTCTGATACACTCGCGAGCACGACGAATTGAGGACTGCTGTACCCGCCACAATAACCCAGCATTGTTCCTTATCACATCACAATGAAACGTGATTCTCCGTAGAAGTTCCTCCCTAGTATCGACCGGAGTGGAATACACCAAGGTTTTGAGGTGTCCCCACAGGTGAAAATCTAATGGCGTTAGGTCGGGAGATCTAGGAGGCCAGGCAATAGGTCCTCCTCTACCTATCCAACGGTTTGGATAGACGTTATTCAGGTGCTCCCGCACAGCAACGCTGAAATGAGGTGGTGCCCCATCATGCATAAAGTACATGTTTCGGCGGGTTTCAAGTGGTAAGTGCTCGACTAAATCATTAAAAGCGTTCTGGAGGAACTCCAAATAAAGTATTCCATTCAATCGTGCCGGCAATACGAATGGTCCAATCAAAAAATTGCCAACGATTCCTGCCCAGACATTAATTGATTGGAACTGATGTTGGCGATGCGAAACAATAGTGGCATGAGGATTTTCATCAGCCCATACATGGGTGTTATGTAAATTCATGATACCATTTTTGGTAAAACCTGCTTCATCCGTGAAGAGAATAGTGCTAATGAAGTTTACATTATTTCGTTGCTGATCCAATAGCCAGTTTGCAAAATGCATTCTACGGGGAAAATCTTCAGGAATCAGTTCATGCACTTTTTGCAAATGATATGGGTATAACAGTTGTTCTTGAAGAACTTCATGTACTATTGTTTTCGACGCATTAAACTGCGCTGATAATTTTCGAGTGCTCGTTGAAGGAGTATCATATATAGCATTTAAAATATTTTCCTCTAATTGCGGCGTACGTACTGTTCTTCCCTGACCAGTATTATTACTTCTTTTTCCAAAATTTCCTAAAATTATGAAAGAAGTAAATAACATTACCTTATTATACCTTATTAAGAAGAATCGCCCACCATTCTCCCTTAGACGTTGGTCAACTCGTTGAAATGTCTTCTGATCTGGAAGAGTGCGATTAGGAAATCTGTCGTGATATAACCTTCTGGCTTCCAAAGCATTGGAAGATGCAAGACCATACATCAGATGCATATCTGCATACTCAATAAAAGTGTATTCCATATTTCGAATTATTTCACAATTAATTTCACAACGAAATTCAAAAATCAAATATCAAAGTAATAAGGAATCAATGTATCAGTAATGTGAAAGTTGACAAGTTCTAAAATGAAGGATATTTATTTATTTCTAACCTAGCAACGTTTGCAAAGGTAACTCGAAAAAAAAGTATCTTTTATCGAAATACGCTAAATACATGATATAAATAAAATGACGTTTTTCCGAAAACGGTTATGATTAGCGACATGAATGAAGAGTACTTAATTTTTAGTCAATAGTTAGAGGTATGTAAAAAACGTTGTCCAGAGTTCTTATCATACAGGGCGTAAAAAAAATGGGCCCATGAGTGTCACAGCTAGTCCGTCCCTGGAGCTGTGAGTAATTCGCAACACTTTCTTGGATAGTAATTTGAAGAGTCTTACCTAGTATACATCATATTAAAAAAAAATTGAAATATACCTGTTGGTTCAAGAATTATGTGTCAAAAACTTAATTCCATGGGAGCTCTTTGGGAGCCCATATCTCCGAAGAGGAGGCCGATACAAAAGAAGTTTATATGAACTTATAGTATTCTTTTCACGTGTTTTCTTCATATCCGGGAGATTTCCCACATGTTCCCGGACACCCTGTATATGTGTGATATATATCCGGGAAATAAGAACTCACCTCTATCCCGTGGGAAAAAGTAATTAATGAAAAGTGACATTTGATAACCTGTCTGTTGTTTCCCTCACAGAAAAATAATATTCATTTTTTACTGTCAATATTGGATTGATATAACCAGTGGAAAAGACATAATATGTTCGCGGAAAATATGCAATTATTTTTTCACCATATCAGAAATGACTTCAATCCTTTTATGAAAAGTGACATTTTATAACCTGCCAACTTACTGCCAACAGAGATGAAATGCCAAACTTTTTTCCCGTCACAGAAAAAAATACATCATTGTACACAGGAAGACATGTCTCGATCCATCCAGTCTCACCTTGTTTGATGATACACTCTTCGTGAAATTTACAAATCGTTTTTTCCAAATCGACAAAATTTTTCATTATTTTCGTTTTTAGTGTCAGCTGCCACATCAATTAGTGGACACACTACAAGAATGGGCAGATCAAAGAGTCATGCAGACCACGACATGTTTCTAACAATCAGTCAAATGAATACGGAGGAAAACACTTTCCTCTACAAGCTGAATATGATCCTGGACGAGTCTTATATGGATATAAAGAAACAATCCAAGGTATCAATTCGTGGAAATTATCCATATTTTTCTCAAAGTGATAAAATGAAATACCAAATCAGTCGACCACAAAAATTAACTAGGTAACTTTAATAACGTAAATATTTCAAGATCGTCTCTATATTGTCATTCTCTTATTTATATTCAGTTCATAAGAGAAAACTGTTGAGAATTTTGAGCAAATTTCGAAAATGGAATAATATACGGGGTGTTCTATTTTAAAACTATGGAAGATGGCACTCAGCCGCCATTTTGAAACTTTCAGCTTGTGATTGTGATTTCAACCCACAACACCCTTCTAATTTGGAACCCGTCGAACGATTTACAAGAACAGATTCCATAATATTTTACTCAACGAGCTCTATTCTAGAATGTGAGAAAACTTGACATATTGAGATTTTCTGAGCCTACTTTTGTTTGTTGAAGGCCAAAATTCCAAAAACGACTATTAGGCAACTTTTATTCGAAAATGTGACTAGCCTATTCGATTGAAGCATCGCTGAAATAATTCCATACGAAATTTGAACGCAAAATATCATATATATGGTGTTAGTTACCAGTGGTAAATTTTGATATTTTGGATTTCTCGATTCACCCTGTATCAAAATCTAAGGAGTTGATTTCATCGGTGAAGTAGTCATTGGAGGAAGACATCTTATACTTAGCTACGAAGATTCATCGTTCTATCTTCTACAGGAAGATCACTCTGGGTCAACCAATAATTAATGATATTGAAGTTGAAGAATGTTTCATTATGACCTATATGTTTTTTTTTCTGGAAATATAAATAATGATAACTAATTCTAGCAAATATACCTTATACATTACAATATACATTTTTTATAAATCGAGACGATTTTCAAAGTTACTGTGTGATGGAGTCTGTAAAAAAGGTTTCAAAATGGTGACCCTCAACTTTAGTTTTGATGATTTTTGGCTGACCTAGAGCGATCTTCCTGTAGAAGGTACAGCGATGAAACTTTGTATCCAAGTATTCGATGTGTTGCTCCATTGTATGACTACTTCACCAGTTATATCAACTCTGCTTAGGATACAGGATGAATCGAAAACTCAAAATATCAAAATTTGTCATTGAATTACTAACATCCTTTATGAGATTCAGCGTTGAAATTCCGAATGGCGGTATTTAAGATATCCCTGAATAGAATAGGCTAGACACTGTTTCGACAAAAAATTGCCTAATAGTCGTTTTTGAAATTTTGACCCTTTTAACAATCGAAAGTAGGCCGTGAAAATCTGAAAATTTCAGATTGTTTTTTTTTTTTTATCGCTTGGAGCGCACGAAAGGGAATCCCTATAATGTTCAAAGAACATCGCGCGTTCCTAGGGAGGATAGGGACAGGAGGTAGGTATTGGAATTTTTTTTGAACTTTTGGAGATTATATGTTGTTGGGAATACTTCCACAGGCAATGAATTCCAGAGCCTAGCCGTTCTATGTCAAAGAGTGAGTGAGTGTGGCGTCACCCACCAGGCGAATGGCTCTTCTCTGGATGGAATCTAAGAGCATCAGCGTATGTTTTGGTGCTGAACCCCATATGTGGGAACAGTATTCTAGAACAGGCCGTATCTGCGCTTTGTATATCATGAGAAGCTGTTGAGGTGTAAAGTAGCTTTTCGCACGGAACAAGAATCCGAGTTTTTGTGAAGCAGCTTTTGCGATGGATCTGACATGATTATCCCATGAAAGAGTGTTGCTGATGGAAATACCGAGCATAGATATGGTGGGCTTGGTGGGGATGGTGGAGCCAGACATCACAATATCGGGCATACTGAGTTCCGCCTTTCTAGAGAAAATGCAGGCTTGAGTTTTGGTGGCGTTGAATTCAACTAGGTTGTTTGTTCCCCAGGCTGTGATTTCAGCAAGATCTTCATTGACAGCATTGACCTGCCTGCGCCGTGAGTTCTTAGTTTCCTGGAAAGAAATGGGAATTCTGGAAGAGAACGCAGTATGGAGGGTACTATCATCTGCAAAGCTGTGGATGGGGCAAGTTGTTACTCCCAACAGATCATTGATATGAAGCAGGAATAATGTTGGTGCCAAAATTGATCCTTGTGGAACGCCGGAATTGATGCCAAAGGTATCAGACGATACACCGTCCACCACCACGTGAAGCGATCTGCCTGAAAGAAAACTCGATAAGAGATGGCATAGCTGAGGTGGTAAGCCGTATGATGGTAGTTTGTGGAGGAGTCCTTCGTGCCAAACACGGTCGAATGCTTTCGAAATGTCCAACGCGACAGCTAGAGATTCCCCGTGTTTTTCTATTGAAGATTGCCATAAATGGGTGACGTAGGCAAGTAGATCTCCAGTAGATCTTCGATGGCGAAAGCCGTATTGTCTGTCATTGATGATTCCTGAGCTCTCCAGATATTTGATAAGCTCAATATTGATGGCTTTCTCCATCACTTTGGAGATTACTGATAACAGGGCAATGGGCCTGTAGTTGTTGGGCAGGTTCTTGTTCCCTTTTTTGGGGATTGGTTGGACTCTAGCTGTCTTCCAGCATGATGGAAAAATACCCGACCTGTACGAGATGGTAAACAACTTGCAGAGAATCGGTGTTAATTCTGGTGCACATTTTTTGAGGATAATGGGTGGAATTCCATCAGGGCCGTTAGCCTTATTCGTTTTGAGACCAAGCAAAATTCGTCTGATAGTGCGTTGACGGAAGACGATTTCGGGCATTCGACTCTCAACGGGTGGAATGTCTGGCGGCAGTTTTCCTTGGGAATCAAAAGTAGAGTTTGCTGCGAACATCTCTGCAAAAATATTTGCTTTCTCCTGCGATGTTGTTGCTAACGTGCCGTCGGATTTGGACAGTGGTGGAAATGAGCTATTAGTGAAATTTCTTCCGACCGCTTTAGCAAGGGACCAAAACGAACGAGAGCCATTGGGGCAATCTATGAGTTTCGATCTTATCTTGGCACACATTGTTACTTTATTCATTTAAAGCTCGTTGTGTACTATATTATGAAATTTTTGTTTTTGAAAATCGGTCGATGGGTTCCAAATAAGGAGAGTGTGCTGCGGGTTAAAATCGCAAACACTGTATATCCGGGAAAAAAGTACTCACTTTTTTTCCGTGGGAAAAAAGTTATCTATAGAAACTGACATTTCATAACTTGCCAACAGAGATGAGATTTCAAACTCTCTTCCAGCCACAGAAAAAAAATATATGTGTCTACCAACTCTAAAGCTTAATTAATTTGTAAAAAACTGAGAGATTGAGGTATTATCGACTGATTCTTTTTATTATTCCATCAACTGCATTTCAACTAGGTCTACTTATATTTTATGTTTATTAATGTCTTGTGAAAAAGTATATTCCTCTCAACTTAGTAAAATGAATTTTTGAAAAACTGAGAAATTGAGCTTGAATGAGTAATTGTCATAATGTACTTTTCATAGCTTTTTGTTTTATTATTTTTTCTTAAATCTGTTGTTTATTTCAATAATTAAAATTTAATTCAATGACGCATGAATAATCTCGGATCATACCAGATATAAATTATAAATCTGTCTGATGATTCATGTTATCTCATTGTAAATGTTATAATGAATATATTCATATTTATATGAGATGCGATGTAATGTTTATAGCAAAGAATGAAATAAATATTATTATTATTTAATTTAAACCTAACAATGTTATCGATGTGAATTTTATTGATTCTAGGTACTGCCTTACCATCAATATTTTGCGTGACTATATAAAGTCGGTATGGTGTATTCCATTGGGCGAAATCGCATCCTAGTAATTTTTAATAATATTCACCAAATACCACTCTAGCTCCTATTATCACAAAGGTTCTATTCTGAATGTTATGTTCAAGACAAATTTTTCGGTGATACTTGAAGCTATACTGAAAATTTCACCATACTTTGTGTGTATTAGCGATCCCTGAATTTTTCAAAAATATTTGTTTTTTTTTAGGACTTTTATGGCAAACATCATCCACTCTTGCTTGACCAATTCAAGATACAACCGAACCACGAACGTTGCATGGAAGAAGTCCATCACAAATACAAAATTTTCCAGCAACAATGTGAAGCCTGTTGGTACGAGAACCTGAATGAATTTTCATCCATTTTGAACGAATTCCAGTACTCGACAAACCATTACCTGAAGGCATTTGAGAAAACATTCCGACGTTGCAGTATTGATAGGTGTGAAGAAACAAATAGAAATATACTGAACGAACTGGAAAACACCGAGAAGGAAACTCAAAATAGTTTTCTGAACATGTTCAAACGGTTGAGGACACTGTATGGTCATCCGAGTAACAAAACCTTGTTGGAAGAATTGCAGAAAGAATTTGAAGATTTGGAGCAAAACTTTTCGAATATAGAAGATATTTTGATACCTCATAAGGTATGTATGTATGTACATTCAAAAATGAAGTAAAAAAACTGATTATTTCTGAGCGAACTGGATAAAATGAATCATGTTATTGTACTATGTTTTTTTACAAATATTATTCTTTGTTTGCCAATTTATAGTTGTTGATATATTTTAAATAATGAAATGTTCACCTAAATATACAGGATGTTAGTGATATTTTTGGAAATGAAGTTTACATAAAAATGTGTCCTTCGTTTTCAAGATTAGGGTATTAATATATTTCCATGAAAAATCGTTTTTTTTTAATCATTAGGTACTCTAACTATTCTCATGCCTATTCTTACTTTAGGAGGATTTGTTGACTGTATACAACGAAGAGGTAGAAAATTTCAAACGGGTTCAAGAAAGGATTTCGATTCTGAAAGAAGATGACAGACTGAGGAATTTAATCCAGGATTTGGAATGTCGACTATCTGATGAACAAAGTCAATCATGTCACCTTCTTGAAAGTGGATCTGTGAATGATATCAGAGAAGGTGGGTTCGTATTTTTCATCCTTAATTAGCCATTATAAAAAATTATTCCGAGTTTCGCGATTTTGGAGAGATCATCATGAAAACAAAATCACTACAATCCTATACGATAAAAATGATTTTATTTCTTTAATCAACATTCAATAAAATTGTTTCAAAAATTGATGTCTCATCTCTTAATGAGACAATTTTTCCCTTGTGATAATTTGATATTGTTAAATATTTATTGACCTATGTACATTTGTTTTTTATCCTTACTACATGGTTCACTTCGTAAGGGTTTTCCCAGTTTATTCAAAATATCTATCTGCATTTTCCAATGCATATTTTGTAAACGTATTTGAATAAGACAATGAATTCTAATTTGCAACTGTTTTCAAAGCCCGTTGAAATCACAACTGAATCGATGTTATCGTCAAAAAATTCAAAGGAAGTCCCGACAGGTGAAATTTTTTCTAAAGAACATATGTACTTTCAATTCAAAATAAGAAAGTTGATGTTACTTCCGGTCAGACCGGAAGCTAACTTCGACATGTCAATATGCTCAAATTCTAGCTCTTCTGTCATTATATCGACGCTTCAAATTTCACAAACCTACTTCATACAATAACTGAGATATTCCGTAGGCAATACTTCCGTAGCCACCCGGTATATGAATTATATACATGATGTCATTTCCTATCAGGTCGTACTTGGGTAGCTCAGATGATAGTACCCTCCATACTGCGTTCTCTTCCAGAATTCCCATTTCTTCCCAGGAAACTAAGAACTCACGGCGCAGGCAGGTCAATGCTGTCAATGAAGACCTTCCTGAAATCACAGCCTGGGGAACCAACAAACCTAGTTGAATTCAACGCCACCAAAACTCAAGCCTGTATTTTCTCTAGAAAGGCGGAACTCAGTATGCCCGACATTTTAATGTCTGTCACCACCATTTCCACCTAGCCCACCATATCTATGCTCGGTATTCCATCAGCAACACTCTTTCATGGGATAATCATGTCAGATTCATCGCAAAAGCTGCTTCACAAAAACTCGGATTCTTGTTCCGTGCGAAAAGCAACTTTACACCTCAACAGCTTCTCATGATCTACAAAGCGCTGATACGGCCTGTTCTAGAATACTGTTCCCACATCTGGGGTTCAGCACCAAAACATACGCTGATGCTCTTAGATTTCATCCAGAGAAGAGCCATTCGCCTGGTGGGTGACGCCACACTCACTCACTCTTTGACATCATTGGAACACCGTAGAAAGGTCAGCGATCTTTCACTTTTCTATCAATACTTCCACGGGAAATGTGCTTCGGAAATCTCTGCTATCATCCCTTCACTAGCAATACCAGTCAGACGAACTAGACAAGCCCAGTCAGCACATCCTTTCGTTGTCAACCTCGAAAGATGTCGAACAGCACTTTATCAAAACTCCTTCATCCATAGAACGGCTAGGCTCTGGAATTCATTGCCTGAGGAAATATTCCCAACAACATATAATCTCCAGAAGTTCAAAAAGAATTCCAATACCTACCTCCTATCCCTATCCTCCCTAAGAACGCACGATGTTCTTTGAACATTATAGGGATTCCCTTTCGTGCACTCCAAGCGATAAAAAAAAGCCAACTTATGCCCATCAAACTTTACACGCGGGAGGCAATGGATACCTATATGATCCCTTGATGTATAAATCAATACTATTATTCACTCAGGATCGCTTGTACAAAAAAGACTGTTTATGGACAACAATATCGAGTATCAACGACCGTCTTGTTCTGATGCTGATGACTAAGTCCGTCTCAATCGCATGATGATAATAAATCCGATGAATCGCCATCTTATTGTGATATGGCGTTGATATGGCATTCCTCTAGGCGTTTTACGGGGTGATTTAAACTTCATCGCTAACAGTGAATTTTTTTCAGAACACCGAAGCCACATAACGTATCGGGCATCCGCCAAGGTACCTATGAGCACAGTGAACTATTACTCCCCGACCGAGTCTACTACAAGTAGCGAAAATAGTGAAGAAAGCCCCAAGCAATTTCTAGAAGAACTAGATCGAACTTATGAGAAGAACATACAGGGTGCCGCTGAATTCGTGGAAATCCGCTTGGTCGAATACCTGCGAGAACGGAAGAATATTTGGACGAGCGAAACGAATTCCATCCGTGATTTATTCAAAGTCAAATATGACGATAAAAACATCTTATAACACGAACTCTGTTTTGTCTCTAAATTAAAGCAGTCTTCCGTTTTATTGAAAGAAACATTGTTGTTTATATTAGCCTAGCAAACAATTTTGGCCGGACTTGTGCTGGCCCATAATATACTGGCCCAACAAACTGGCCAGAACTGCAAAATTCCTGATGAGCCAGTACCAATGCCGTCATCACGGCCAGTACATCTGCCGAAACATTCAAATTGAACAAATAATTTGCCCAGCATGACTTTTTTGTGAATAATAAAGATTAGAGAAACTCCTCTTATCAATTAATACATCCAGTAATGAATCTTCTGACTCAGTTCCATCTCCAGGAGTTCTCGAATTCAAATCAGGTATGGACTCCTCGTGGATTTCAGATATAATACTTTCAATATTCACACCATCTGTACCTACAGTTTCTAATGCAGTAGAAGCAGAAGTCTCGTCATTTGCTGAGTAAAAATTCGATATATTTTTTATATACCTTTATTTCTCTTCTCCAAACTTTTTTCAATACAAAATTGTCACTGACAAGCAAGTGAATTTTTCTTTAAGGCTCTCTTAATTTTTTTTTTTATTTCAGTTATTGCATTACATTCTCTTCTTCATTGATACATTTCATACAAATAATATATAAAGTATAATTAATTTTCTAGTAGGAATGACATGAATGATCAGACAGTAATTCCTGGTATAAGATCATTCATGAAATATTATCGACTGTTGTATAATTGAAATTACAAATAGTGAACAAAACTTACATATCATTAAGATACAGTCATATTATAGTGAACAAGAAGGAGAAAAATAAAAACAGTGAAAAAAAAAAGAAAAGGAAATTCATAGTCTTTCAGCTTTGATCATTCCTTTGCATATAAATATATTTCTCAACTTTATTTTTGAATTGCATAATATTTGGGCTGTTTTTGATATCATCTGGTAACTTATTGAATTTCGAAGTCGCCTCATGTGTAAACTTTTTTTGCCCAAGTTTAGAATTTGCAGCTTCAAGATGAAACAAGTTATATTGTCTAGTGTGATGATCATGAATACCGGAATTCCTGATTAATATAAAATTTGATTTAAGCTTTTTGTTGATGATATAATAGGAAATTTTGAGAGTATTGATTAAAAAGTGCTCTTCCAAAGAAAATGTGTTTGTTTCCTTATACAGTTGATTCGTTGGAGTATCATATGGAAGACGATACAATACTTTCAATGCCTTTTTATATAGAACAGAAATTTTGTTGAAACTATTTTTGGAACAAGATCCCCAAATATTTATGAGATAGTTAATTCTTTAAACTCAGTGACATTTTGAGGCAAATCATCTGAAAATCTGAAATAATTGTTTTTCTCCCATAATAATTGCAGAGTCAACATCCATTCCTGTTCCCATCATCATACTTTTACTACTTGATGGACATTGATCATAATATTCAACTGTATCATCGGAAACAGTAGTAGTATTCGTAAAGAAGAAAATTTTTACACTTCTCATCTTCTAAATTTTGTTTCCTTCTTCTTTTCAAAGCACCACTGGTTTTAATCAAGTTTTCCATTCAAAATAATTGGCTTGTATCGTTAATTTACACTGGTCCTACACTGAAAAAAACATGCCTATTCGCAGAAATGTAAAAATTATTTCTGTGGCATATTCATAATTGAAAAATATTCATGTATCAACCAATTTGGCTGAGTCCTTGCTCTGGTTGGTGGACCCAGGGCACTAGCCCCCCCTCCGAGGAACGGCCCCCCCGCAACGCCACTGGCCACGGGATTAGAACTCCAGTCCTTCGCTATCACTTGGTTCAGAAATCGTATTGAAGTCGTTTATTATCTGGCACAATTTAATCGATGGGACTCTGGATCACACTATCTCCACTGATAGTTTCCCAGTGCAAAAGTGGAGCTACCACTTTAAAATAGGTGGCGCCCGAGACTTACATTGAATAATCCATGCAGAAGCGTCAAATTACGCACCTCGTGGTAGATTGTGTTACACTATTCATATGAGTAGGTGGGATGCTGCAGGTTACATCTTCGTAATAGCAGATTGCGTTTTTTTGAAATAAGTAGTTGGTGTTTGGCCGTTACCACCGATACAACAAGGCCTGCATGTTTCGTGGGTGACGTCACTTAGTGAGGCCTAACCAGCAGCTCGAAACGACAAGCGCTTATAGCGCTATAAGGCGACCGCGTATTTCGATTTTAGTTTTACATCATCATTGAGCCGATTTTGCTGTTTTTTGAAGGGCTTCCGGTTAAAAAAGGATGCCAGTCGTCAACTGAGCCCTTCTTCGCACCCCATTCGATTTTATTATGGAAAAACGAAGTTATAAAGCAATAACCAGGATAAAACACAAATATCCACCTACAGCAACCCATTCGAATTGAATATATTGGCAAAAATTGTGGTGAAGGTAAACTTCACACCTATACTTATACAGGGCACGCAGAACATGAACTTATCGTGGGATTGATCGAAAGAAAATTGTGGAAAATATATTTTATTTTGATTGACATGCCGTTTGTTACAATTACCTATATTTATCTTGGAGAATTCCTATTACCTGAAAAAATAACCAGTGAGTGTTTTCAATTTTCTGTTGTTGGATTTTTCACCCAAGTGGATCGTTACACTTGAAACCGTAATTTTTAAGGGTAAAACTGCATTTATCATGCGATGGTTTTTTTTTTGAAAATGTTTTTCGGTACTCACGTATTTTTGTCTGATAAACCGAATTTTATAATGAAAATGTGAAAAAAACCACTATTAATTGAGATATTTCAAGAAAAAGTTCGAAATTTCGCCTTCTTTCTCCCCTTGTGTTGGGGGCATTTGAAGCTACTTGCTCTTATTTTGTCATTGGACACTTTATATACTCATGATGTACTTCGATGGCACATTTTTATATAGAAAATTCAACAGGAAATATGATTTTTATGGCGAGTTTTTCATATTTATAGTGAACAAGCATTCCAGACCATTTAATCAATACTCAATCAAAATACGAGATGTCAAATGTCAATAGATTGCTTTCGAATGACATTACACACGCCATTATTTTGAATGATATTCTTCCTTCTTTTCACTAAATATGGATTAATCTCAAGAAAATCATATTTATAGTTGAATTATATATACATTGTCCAATATGATCAAAAAAAAAAAGGGAAATTTGTTCTAAATGCCATCCAGAAGACAGGTGAAAAAGAAGGTGAAATTTGGAACTTTTTAGTCAAATATTTTCACGATAAATATCATGATAAATGCAGTTTTACCTTTTTAAGTAGAGTGTTTGTAGTTCATGTTAATATGATAGTTGCAATTTGATCATTGGAATGAATTTTGCATTCATTGCCACGAGGCAAATGACCGTTTTCAGAAAGAAATTTGAGAATGAGAATTAAAAATGCCCGTTTATTATGAACATTCAAGAAAATTTCCTCGAATTCAGAGATGTTTTTGTTGACTATAATATACGAATACAAAACTAACTGCACAATCAAAGCTTTTCTATTTTTCCTCTACTTATACTTTTTATGAGAGAGTATACTTACCCACATTTTCGATAGCTCCTCGTCCAACGGGAAACTAAAAGCATGAACTTTTGAACCAGCCACATAATTCCCCGACAAAAGGGAACACAACACTTGAAAGGCATTGTTATTTCGCCGATCACAACACAAAATATTTCACAAAACAGTAATTTTTCCGCCAATTATTTTGATGAATAAACAACATAAGAATTCGGGACCGTTTCAAAAACATACGTGAATCGCCGATGAATTAACACGAACTGACGCCTTAGTCGACAAGCGATAAAATAAAACACTGGCCTCTCTTCGTGACGTCACGAGCTGTTTACGTCAGAGTGTGCTGGCCTTGTTTGTATCGGTGGTAACGGTTTGGCCCGTGACTCATACGGGTCATATTGACAAAATCACAGAGGCTCATGAGATATTTTTAGCATGAATTGAATCTTCGCTGTAAAACGAGGTTGATTGGTCACGTGTGTGTCAATTCGAAATGTGTATTTTGGTAGAACAAATCCGATAATATCTAGTAAACAAAAAATATCGCTTTAAAACAGGAGCTACCAGAGAAATGGGCGTATTTGATTGGTTCCTGTAAATACGAGTGGAATAGTCAAAGTCAATAATGACGATAAAAACTCTTTATTCATTCAACTCTGTACCGTCGAAAGTCTCGAAAATAATGGATGATCCGAGTTGAGCTTCCTATGTTCGCACAACTATAAATAAAGCATAATATAACCTGTATATTCTCTTGATATATTGTCAAAATGACAATTGACAGCGGCTTGATTCACAGTGATGCCAACATAGAAAACTCAAGTCCGTTCACCCCCGTACAAACGTGTCATGTAAATTAAATCGAATTATAAATTTACAAAACGAATCATAGATTTACATAAATCCTAATGCTAATACTCTTTCATTACAAAAATAAAACGACTATGCTCGTAGCGACACGAACTGTTGAAATATTTCGAGGATGTGGTGATCCAAGTCTTGCGTAAACAACAAAGTTTCCAACGTCGAACTGTATTTCTGGACTTGTTCGTGGTGCTGAAAAAATGGAAGATGTTTCAGCCATTGAAAATCTAGTCGGCAAGGTATACCGGATATCAAGTTTTCGTATACAGGCTCGCTTATTTGACAAGATAATTGAAAAAATCAGAATCTCCATTGAATGGCATGTCATATGAAAAAATCTATTACATTGGATAGTTTTCTGGCAGCTATCCCTCACTTTTTATTTTCAAATGGCACTCCCTGTATATTGTCATTGAATATTGCGTGCCATCCTATAAGGTATACCGGATATCAAGTTATCGTATACAGGCTCGTTTATTTGACAAGATAATTGGAAAATTCAGAAACTCCATTGAATGGCATGTCATATGAAAAAATCTATTACATTCGATAGTTTTCTGGCAGCTATCCCTCACTTTTTATTCTCAAATGGCACTCCCTGTATATTGTCATTGAATATTGCGTGCCATCCTATAAGGTATACCGGATATCAAGTTATCGTATACAGGCTCGTTTATTTGACAAGATAATTGGAAAATTCAGAAACTCCATTGAATGGCATGTCATATGAAAAAATCTATTGCATTCGATAGTTTTCTGGCAGCTATCCCTCACTTTTTATTCTCAAATGGCACTCCCTGTATATTGTCATTGAATATTGCGTGCCATCCTATAAGGTATACCGGATATCAAGTTATCGTATACAGGCTCGTTTATTTGACAAGATAATTGAAAAATTCAGAAACTCTATTGAATGGCATGTCATATGGAAAAATCCATTACATTCGATAGTTTTCTGGCAGCTATCCCTCACTTTTTATTTTCAAATGGCATTCCCTGTATATTGTCATTGAACATTGCGTGCCATCCTATAAGGTAAATCCGGATATCAAGTTATCGTATACAGGCTCGTTTATTTGACAAGATAATTGAAAAATTCAGAAACTCTATTGAATGGCATGTCATATGGAAAAATCCATGACATTCGATAGTTTTCTGGCAGCTATCCCTCACATTTTATTTTCAAATGGCACTCACACCTGTATATTGTTATTGAAAATTGCGTGCCATCGTATAAGGAATACAACATTAGCATATGCTTGGTATTTTTCAATTATTTTAACAAAAACAGCAACATTTAATGAAGAATGAATTTCAACTAAAATAGCTTTTATGTGAATCAAGAAATAAACTAATAATCACAGCTAGTGGTCAAAATTATTATGACATGAGAGGCATCGGCTTCTTGAAACAAAAAACATGAGCGGAAGCAATATTTCATTTTTATAAGGGTATAATTGAGTGAATAAACAAGTCACAAAATGTTGATATTCTCGTTGTTATCGATGAAAAAAATACCAAGTTTACGCTATCGTTGTATTCCGAATTGAGTGACACGTAATTTCAATGTCATTAGGAAGGTACTTCAATGCCATTCAATAAAGTTTTTGAATTTTTCAACTATCTTGTCAAATGAGCGGGATATTTCCTGTACACAAAAACTTGGGACACCCGGTATTATCTAAGAACTGAAAAAAAATATAAAAAAATTGCCTTTGTTGACGATACTTTCAGTAAGCCAGTGACCTCTATCCCGAACTCTCTTCATCATTTTCAAATCAAAATGTTTCGGAAACGGTACACAGTATCAAGTTTTCCCAAGAGTGCCTTCTTAGTATTCACATAAAATGTGGACAAGAAAATATCGAACCAACAAAAATTCTGTTGAAAACTATTCGCTCGCTAAATAGAAAATAATCTATGTGATGCGTCATCTTTTAAAACATATTCCTACAAAATTCAATTGAAATGTTGCCAGTGGTTTCAAATAATCATAAAAAACATGATTGCGTGATTGTTCCTACCGCATGGAAATTTGAACAGAGGTGACGTCAGATTTGCTACAGTGTAGAACTTTGGGTGGAATAAGGGGGTCTAACCTCAAATTTTATTTTGATCTCTAATTTTTTTATTAGTGCCATTCGATAGTACACGTCGAGCTTCCTCATTGTTTGAAATATTTGCACTTATTTCAATGGCAACCTGTAAATTTATGTTACCAGTTGAGAAACGCGTCATTTTGTGTAAGCGAGATCCCGCAAAACACATAGTTATTGAGATCAATTACCTATTTATTCAGATTCATAAAGGAAAACATTATTCTTGTGCTGGAGATATTGATTCGACAAGAAATCACGAGTAGAAAATTGAGATAAAATTTAACTAAAAACAAAATATTGAATCAGATATGAGTAAATGTTCAAAATGTCCTCCCTCTCCACGAATAAACGATTCTATAATTTTTCCTAAGAATGCATTATTCTCATAACCGATTGAGGATCAGGGTTATTGTGTACTATTCATGCGATGAGTTTTTTATCGAAAAATTTTCTGGTACCTACGTATTTTTGTCTCGAAAACATGAATTTGATAATGAAATTGTGAACAAGCCACTATTTATCGAGATATTTCACGAGAAGGTTCTAAACTTCACCTTCTTTTTCCGCTTGTCTTAGAACTATTTTTCCTTCTTTTTTCATCATTGGACAATTTATTTATGACGATGTACTTCAATGATAAGTTTTCAATAGGAAAATCTACTAGAAATATTATTTTCTTGTGACATTTTCATATTTACTATTTGGTGAACAATCACACCAGATTCAAAATCTACGTGTCTAAAAGTTTATGTTCTTTCACAATCTGTTGAAATTTGACCAGCTCGTATGATTAATCAGTAAATATGAAAAATTCACCAAAAAATCATACTTCTTGTTGATTTTTCTGAATAAAATGTGTTGAACCTCATCATGGGTATATAAAGTGTGTCCAATGACAAAATAAGAAGAGCAAGATTTCGTGAAATATCTCGATAAATAGTGGTTTGTTCACATTTTGATTATCGAATTCGAATTTTCGAAAAAAAAACATCGCATGATTAGTGCAAAATTACCAGGATCAGATGAGTGAGGTCATTCTATTTTTTTTTCTCTTGGAGCGAATGAAAGGAAATTGCTATAACCTATATAATAGGTGTTGGAATTTTTCTTGAACTATTGGATGTTATACGAGTTCTTGCGAATACTTCCATTGGCAAATAATTCAAAAGTTTCGCCGTTCTCTAGACGACCGAGTTTTGGTAGTGTTGTTCAACATTTTTCAAGGCTAACGACGAAGGAATGTGCTGACGTGAATTTACTTCCGCAGCATAGACTTTTTCCTTAAGATACAGCCTAACTGTGTAATTCATGTTTTTAGTCAAATATATTGCAATTTTATTCTTGTGATTCATGAAGTTCAGCATTAGAAATATATTGTTTTCGATTCTCAATAAATACGTAATAGTATTTCATGACACTCTACTACATAGCTTTATGCCAGGAACAGTTATCACCTCATTATTTTCCGGAAATGGTACACAGTATCCAGTTTCAAGAGTACCATTTTGGTGTAAAATTGAATGATATTCAAGTTCACATTGAATTTGGATTGCAAGAACTAACCTCAAAAAAGTTCAGTAGAACTGGCAACCCTGCATCAGACGAAAAATGTGTGCCTGCGGATGAAAAGTACTTGCCTTCGGAAATAGTCTGTTTCTCGTTGGGAAATTAGAACGTAAAAAGTGATTTTTTTGTAGAGGTCGACGAAAAAGTTACATATGACAGTTGACAGCGAAAAAATGCACTCACAGCTAAAAACACCTGCTGCAGCCTGCCGATCGTCCATTTGTACCAATGCGTGCCGTAATCCTTGCCGTCCGTGTCGCACCTGACCAGGTGCTCGGACAAGATCATGATGAACCTTTGGAAGATGATCAGGAAGAGGTTCTTCTGGTCGGCTTGAGCCGCCTCGAGTTTCTCCTCCATGCGTTCGACCATTTCTTCGGTCGGTTTTTCCAGATCATCCTTTAAAAGATCGAAGAAAGTCAAGCCAAATGTCAAAATTGACTACTTAAGTGTCAAAGATGATACCAATTTCACCCTGTATATGGTTCCATTTCTTTATTGTTACTTGAGTTCCTGAATGTACTTGACAATGCTGTTTTGACGTTTTTTTATATTAGAGTACGGACACTAGACAAGCAGTGACAATCAAACATAACCACGAACGATTCTGAAGCAAATCATATGGGTTGCGTGCAAGAACTGTCAGATGACCGACATTGGAGGCAAAACATTGAAACACAACGTCACTTTTCTTATTTGTTTACAAGTGATCGAAATAGTTTTCCACAATTATTTTGACATATGAATAGTATTTTTCCGCTATTCATCAATTCGCTCATGCCTTGTAAAATGCACAAAAACTGCAGCGGAAGATGAAGGAATCTGGATGGTACATTATGATTTAAAAGTAAGTACCTACTATAGTCACTCACATATAGTTTTCATTTTTGAAATTTGGTTATTTCTCTGATTTCTCATCGGAATTCCTCCTGCGATAGGAGCTAATAGAAATATACCTACAATTTCTAGAATAATGCAAGAAGATTGGATTCATGCAATCAATCGGGAGGACTGGTCTGACATGCTGACGATCGTGTGTGTTGTAGACATTTCCAATCTATTAGCAGTATTAGCTTGTATTGCAGAAGTGGCAGAAGGCAGAAGGAATTTTAATAAGGAATGACAACATTTCATAATGATAACTATGTGAGATTACTATTTACCTGAAAAATCATATTCCCTAGTCTCTTGCTGCATTTTTTGTGCATTGTACAACAGCACAAAGCGAAGGCATGCTTGAATCAATGAATAACGCAAGAAACACGATTCGTATGCCAAAATATAGTGAAAAACTATTTCAACCTTTTGATTCCTCTGTAAACAAATGAAAAAGTGAGGTTGTGTTTCAATATTTTGCCTCCAGGGTCGGGCAGCGTGCACGCGACCTATGTTTTGTCAGACAAGGACAAGAATAAGTTTTTCGATTAAATAAAGGATCTTCGCATCTTCCATCCTCCACAAGTCCTGGGAAGAGTACAACCATATATCTTTCTCTGTCTTTGAATTTTGTATGAGGATGCATAGCGTCTCCTCGAGTGGGTAAAAGGGTACGATAAATTGATTAGAAAATGATTTCTTCTCGAAATATTGAACGATAAGGCTGAAGGACCTCAATGGAGGTCGATATCGAGTTGGTATGTACATGGTCTTTTTAATCTATGGTACATATATACCAACGAAATGCATCTTATGAAATGAGTCTCTCATATTATGTAGGTATATATATATACACGTTCAGTTGAATATTTTTGTATCACAAAAGTTCAGAATGGGGTAAAAACTGATAAATTTCAACCAATGAAACATACTTTTATTTCGTATGGAACGATTTCACTTGTACAAAAGTGGTAGGTAATAAGTAATTAACAAACGAACAAATGATTTGGCAACAATAACAGCTGATTTCAGTTAGGATAAATAATAAAGGTTCTCCAAGACATACGAAAGTAGGTATAAATGGACTTCAGCGTTCGACTCACTATAGATCGCCGTTCACATTGCTAAAGGGGATTGTTGGTTCGAACCCGGCCATCGGAAGATCATTTTCAATACTTAACATAAATGGTGCACTCGTTAAGCGTTTTTGTTCTGTGCTATGATAATATTTTGCTCGTATCTTGGTACCCAAAAAGTGGTTCAAAATCCACTAGGAGCTGTGTTGTCGTCTAGCACTTCTCAACTACGCATGAACATGCACATTCAGACTTATTTTCTAACTCTCTATTTTCTTCTTCTATTTGTTTCCTGAATTCCTCACTCTCTTCCACTCGTAAACCTTGGAGTTTTGAATATTCCTGCTCTAAAAATTCGATTCTCAAGTCTTTTTCTTTCAAAATATGTTCGAAATGAATTTCTCTATCTGCAAGTTTTTCTTTTCTTGTTGGTTCTAAATTGGTATAAGGTTCTTTTCGATACTCGCTCAGTTCAAAAAATTGTGAGTTCGGCTCTTTTTCTCAACATCAAATCTTCCGTTCTGAAGTGTACCTGATAAAAATGCGTTGAAAATGTTCTATATCCCACCAAGAAATTTGAATACCTCGCAAATTTTGTGGCCTGTACCTATATTCCATGCCGGCCGCATCATATTCTGTTTTTATTTTTGTAGAATTAAGTTATCCGATGGAAATTCGTATAGAGTAAATTGATTTCCCGTGTTCTCACAGTTGGAAACTGCACAAACTTGCATCTTTCTCCTAATTCTCTCAATTTGTCAAACCTTTGAAATTCATGTCGTGTACGTCCGTGTACTGTCAGTTCCCGCTTTTTCCAACAATTTATTTGTGGTTATGTCTGATTGTCAGTGCTTGTCATAGTGTCCGTAATCTAATATACAAAAAACGTCAAAACATCAGTGTCAAGTACATTTAGGAACTTTAATTGTTACTTACTCACTCCCAATATAAAATAAATAAAATAGTTCAAGTGTTATTCCAGACCTAACCTAAAAATGGCAGAGATATAATAGATAATAACATTGATCCCAGGTTTATACTGTAGGTACCGGGGTAATCACCATCTGTACCGGTCTGCACTGCTGCTAACCAGGCCTCCTTACAATCCCAGTTGTAGGAACAGGTGAAGTAAATCACCTTTATCAAAAATCTGACGCTCGAGATAACCGAAACAAGTAGGTACCAGTAGTCTCTGCCCAAACAGAGCCCCCCTGAATACAGCTCCACCGCTTTCATACCCTTACAAATTAGGAGCCCAGAAAAGCTATAGTATTTTTCGTGTTCTGGAATCAATGTTTTCTCTTGATTGCATATTGATATTAGATTTTTAATAATCACTATTTTTAATGTATTCATTTGTCCAATTTTGTTATTAGATTGCATTGTTGTCATCACTGATTATTCCTGGCCTTGAAGATTAGTTATCATCTGTCTTAAAAGTTGCGAATGGAACACCGTCGGTCTCAGACCACGAGTGCATTAGATAGTTGTTCCTAGGCATTCCTGTCCTGTGCTCTGTAATCTTCATTCAAAAGAATATATAATATTCGAAAGTTAATAAATTATTTATTCTGATGTGGTAAAAAAGAAAAGCAAATGAAATAAATATTAAGTGAATGTTTCCATGATATGGACCGTGTTTCTGATTCCCTAGTTGAAACTAATGAAATAGTTTGAATGAATAATTTTCTTGGCGTAAAATAAAATACCAGAGACTGTGTCTCCCAGAGATTTGTTTTGGTTCCCGCAAAGTGTTATTCCTCAGGAAGACACTTGAAGAACAGTTATTGTTATTAGTCAACAATTACTCTAGCAACCAGTATTCCAGACTAAAGCCAGGGTTTGCAATCAGACCATACATTCTCTTGGCCCCTGATCCATTTCTGATCAAAAAGATTGATCCTCATGGTTTACTGTAGGCCCCTCCTGTGCCTTTATAACCCTTACACTCCCGAGAATAATTTGGAAAGTATAGCCGGAATTTTTCTAGCAGGTGTGACTCAGAGTAAACCCAGAAACTTCCTGATTTCTTTTCTAATTTTTTCACGATGATGTAATATTATTTTCAGAACCCTCACAATCGTGTTATTTGGGAGTGAAATGGGATTTTAACTCAGAATGAAGAAAACGCTAATCATTGAGAAATATGTATTTATTGTTCATGGTTGTTATGAAAAGGAACGAAACAATTACTGTCATTGTTGAAGCACAGGCATAGGCGTACATTGCATTTTTAACATCTCGTCCTTGAACGGTCACCACAACTTTCCAGTCAGCAAGTGCGTGGTTATTTCGGAAAATCAATGACAGGCCAGTTGTCAATTTCATCATATCGTTTGTCATTTATTGAAATAGAAACTTCTCTATTTGCAAGAAGAACGGTTGGTTTATTGGCATTTTCATCCACCCACTCAACAAATATTCCTCCCACAATTCTACCTGTTCATCATTCAACTCCCAATGTTCATCTTTATCGCAATCGATTTCCAGATCTGATCCTATCTGATCCAACAAATCGTAAATTTCATCTTGATCTTTTTGCAATTCAAAATTCTTGGAATGGAGGACACACTGACGCTTCCGGAGCACACAAATGTGATGGTACACAAATATGATCCCGAAATAAATTTTGGAAACAGACACTGTGATCCACTATGTTGAATCATGTTTTCATTTGCCATTCAATGCATAAAATCATTCACAATATCATATATAGTTGATGTTTTTGATTCACTCACCTTCAGGAAACATTTTTCAGTCGAAACCAATTGCACCACAAATTTTTATTTCTGACAGTGACATTATAAGCTTATATCGTCATAGTTACGATATCTATAATGAGGGTCATAACTCCCTTGGGATATTAAGGTTCAAAAACTCCCTCTTACCTTTCACAGGTGAAAATGATACAAGAAATGCTTATAAACGTTTATATGTGATGAAAACTAAGACATATTTTCCTTATTCACGTCATTACAAATAATAAATGTACAATTTTCAAATGTTCCCTGAAAATTACTTCCACCGCTTAAAAAAAACATTTACATAGCGACAACCTAGCAACAACCAACAATGCTACAATCAACGCTACCTAATTCAAATATACCAGAAAGGTTATGAATTTAAACATTTATTGCGTTCTAAATATGGACATATTGTTATGAAAATCGGTCAGAAATAAAATTATCTATGTACCACGAGAATTATAGAGCCTTAATAACCTCTGGCAATTGCTGTCCCTCGGGCCAGAGGCCCTCGGGACGCAAACTTTGCCATCGGTAATTAAGGCCCTCATAATTCCCTTAATACATAAATAACAATTTTTTTACGCCGCCTGAAAATAAAATAAGCAGCAAATGCGATTTGTTCCGTGCAAATAGAACACTCACAAGCGTAGTGGCTGGTTCTCAAACCAGCAAATTGATATTTTGATCCTTATAAATCACTTAGATAGTGCCCGTACAATTGTAAGGGATACACTGTTGCTACCTAAGCCTACTCAGTTTGTAGGAGTAGGTGATGTAAATTACCTTAATAAAGGCGCCCGAGGAAACAGGCACCAGAAGTACCTATTTGTCCGAAAAGTGTGAAGGAAGACCCCAGGAATTATTTCTTGAAATAAAATCCACTTACAATCATTCTTGTGATACTCACGCCTTTCTTCTTCGATTCATCCTCTTCCGAATCGCTGTCACTCGATTCGGCGCGCGCCAATTTTTCTCTAGAGTCCGTCAATTCGGCGCCCAATTTGATCACGTGCTTGTTCATCTTCTTTATTGTCAAATGAAGGATCTCCCACAGGTACATCTTGGTGAATTCGGAGGAGATTTCCTTGGAGAAAATCCAGTTGGCCACCTGCAAGAAACGATCGAGACATTGTCGAGGTGGAACCAAAACCAAGATAGATTATGAGAAGATATTCAGAGAAGATTTCTCGGAATACAATCCGAAAGAAATGCTTCCGTTAGAATAGAGATAAACAACGTTGCGGTCTCAGCCAATTCTTTCTTCTCTTTCCTTTGATTGTTCCATGAAGGGGGAAATAACAATTTCAACACTAATTAACTTGCAATACAGATCAGATCAGATACCTGATATCCACAAATATACATATAGTAATGAAAAGTTTATAATGTAGAATAAGCACCTGATTGAATATTTACTAAAACAATTGAATTTCGAAATTATTCAGTGATTTATTCATTGAATTGTTCAAATTGATGTCCATTTCTCATCACAAACTTTCTCAATACATATTAATCATTGAAAGATGTCTTTGTAATTCCTGGAAAACTGCCTCTGTTGTTGCACAAAGTTCTTCAAGTATGTTGGGCCACTCACTGTATTAAGAAGTATTGAGAAAGTTTGTCAACTGTATGTTGGTCAAAATGGATATGAATTTGAACATGTCAATGAATAAGTTACTGAATAATTCCGGAATTCAATTATTTTAGTGAATATTTAATCAGGTGCTCATTCTACATTATGAACTTTTTATTACTATTTATTTGTTGCTATCAGGTACCCAAGTTTAGTGTTTTGTTAATTAATGAGTGTTGATATTGGTTTTGACCTCCCCATGGAAAAATTTAAAGAAATATTTCTTCAATTGGAACATTTTTCATAAGAAAAATCCATAACCAACCATCAAAATTCAATATTTTAGTGATTTTGAGCAATTTTCATTTTGAAGACAAAAAAATAAGAAATTTAATGAGCTTATGAAATAAAGGGTGTTCCATTCAAAAAATCATAAGTTTGAGTCGTATCTCCAAAACCATACCCTGAAAAAAAAAATTAAGTGCGCCACTGGATTATGCGTGAAATTCTCTATGCGATAAGATTTTGATTTGACATTTCTGTTGAGAAACTTCGTGGATATAGAGGGGGTCCAAAAAGTATAAATTTTCAAAATCGCCCTGTATCTCATAAACGGAAACAGTCTTGCAAAATCTGATTAGGCCATCTTGAGTTTCACAAAAAAGTGGCACAGGACCGCGAAAACCACAAGGTTCTATCTCCAAAGATAACTGAGATATCAGGCAAAAGCATCGAAAACTGGACACACTGTACTTCTTGACAATATGTCATACCTTCTAATCCTTTACCATGATTCCTCAGAGAACGAATAAACTTTTGGCAGTTAGGATCAATGTCAAACAGGTATTTATCAGTGATTCATGAATTATCTACGGTGTCTATTTATCTTTAAATAACTTCTTACCCTAGTTCGGTATGCCATGCCCTCGATTCCTTGTCTATGATTCCGTAGAGACAAGAATAAACGTTTGGCGGTTAGGATTATTGTCAAACAGTTATTCTTCAGTGATTCATGAATTAACTGCGGTGCCTATTTATTGTCAAATAACTTCTTACGCTAGTTGGGTAACAAGTGTCTAGCTAGACCAGCGAATCTTTCAAACTTCAAGGTTATCAGAAGGTTATTCGTGAGACCTATGAGGTAATATGAGGAAGGAAAATGTCTCTTCTGCATGAAAAAGGAAAGTATCTTCAACCCAACTTGTCCTTAATGAACCTTTTTCCTGAAAAGTATATTTCTGAAAAATTGATTGAGTAAAAAAAAATTGACGCCTCGCAGGGATTGAACCCAAGTCACCAACGTGGAAGTCAAATACACAGACCACTAAGCTATCGCTTTAGTCGTAGTAGCGTAGTTTCCCAAGATAACGAAGGAAGAAATATCATGTTGTGGGTGACGTCACTTGACCTTGATGTTTGAAAGATTTGCTGGTCTAGCTAGACGCTTCTAGTTGGATATGTCATACCCTCGATTCCTTGCCCATGGTCCCGCAGAGACAAACGTTTGGCGTTCATATTCATTGACAAACAGGTATTTTTCCGTGATTTATGAACAAATCGCGGTGTCTTTCTATTGTTATTTAGATTCTCACACTAGTCGGGTAAGCCATGCTCTCGATTATTCATGATTCAGCAGAGACAAGAATAATAGTAGATTGTTTTATAAGGATCAAAAGTGACAATTTGTTTGACAAGCGAATTTTGCATTTGCGAGGTGGAGCGTTTAGTGAAGCCAAGAGAGAGCCAAATTTGCGAGTCAAACAAAGTCACTTTTGATCCGAATGAAACATGCTATTTTTTCTGCAACCCAAACAATTAACTCAGATAAATATATGCAGTAACCACCAATGCCGTGCCTTATATATGCAATGCAACAAATATCAACAAATCATACGTGTGGTGAGAATATACTACCTGCATTACCAGCAGGTTTATACAATTTTCAGGAATGTTCGAATTGTAGTTTCAATATAAATATAACCACAGAGTGACATATTTGTGTATGGACCAGTTCCTCTAATGGCAAATACCGCACCAATGCCAGTATAGAAACAAGACGTGGAAAATGTTAGGTTAATGAGCATATCAACAATAATAATAGCGATTATTTATCCCTCTCCATACTACACTGTGTTTAACTTGATAATCAAATGAAGGTAAACAATATCGTTGCAGAAAACTATTGCTTGCAGTGATTATTCAAAAACAAGTTATCCATCCCGAGAATAACGAATGAAATAGAGATCAAGCAAGTATTTGAATCTTGAAGGCTTCCCTGATCAAAACAAAAATACTAACTGAGATGTTTTAAATTCCAATACTTAATTATAATAAGGTGTATTCATATCTCCTGCATGGGTATGAAATGCCAAATCTGCCGAAATCGGAAACAAATCAGGTATGCGTCCCAACCCAAATAACCAACTGTAACAATGTTGTTCATTCTTGATGACGTCTAGTACATCCTTTTTAGTTCCTAGGAGCTAGAGTTCAACTTTAGCTGTTAGTGTTAGTACTAGAAACGTCAATTCAAGAGCTAATGTTTGTATCAAATGGACGACTTTTGTGTCAGTTGCAGAAAAACGTTTATCGTTCATGCTTGTTGCTTAACAAATATCTTTCAGTGGTTCATCAATAAATTGCAGTTTCCATCTATTGTTGAATAGTTTCTTACCGCTGAGCACTCGACAATTTGCGTCTTGAGCATCTTGTCGATAAGAACAATCATCATTTGCTGGTGCTTGTGCCACAACTCGAACATGTTCCTCAGCACGCAAATCTGAGCTTCCTCAGACTCGGCCAAGATCTTGAACACGTAGTGGAACTTGGAGATGGCCGCGAAACTGTGCGAGAAGCTCTTCGAGCCCAAATTGAGTAGAGTTTGGACGAAAACGTCGATCTTGAGAGGGTTGAAGCGACCGTCCTCGTCGTCGGATCGGGGATTGGGGAGGTCTTTGAGTACCGCAAGGACCTCTTCGGGGGTGCACTTTTGACGTATCGAGACGACTAGCTGATGAGCAGAAGAGGTGCCTGGTAGGGAGGCTGAAACAAAGGAACAAATATTGAAAAGGAATATTCTCAGATATAATTATGCACAAAAAAATGGATGTATACAGGGTGTCTGCAAAAGGTTGGAACATGGCTCGGCTGTGGACGCCTATATCCTATCACCTATATCCTATACCCATATCCAAAATCATCTCGTTGAGTTGGTACAAGGCGTTGAAGTTTTTTTGGAAAAAAATAATTTTGCTCATAAAAAGAGTAGGCTGAGATCGATTTCCATAATTTTTGGCATGGCATGTTCTGTGACTGTAAGTCACGTTTTGAGATGTTTTTGATCATCATCAGTGACCTGCAAGTGTCTCAAACAACCATGTGGCCGTACAAATTTGGTGATAACTTTTCAGAGGTCGGACTGGAAACTTCCAGTTTTTTCTGTCCAGAAAGATATTCCCTTCAGAAATATTTTTTGTATCGTGTTAATTTTTGATAAGTCTCGAGGTTCATTTGCAAATAAATAATTTCTGATATGATGTACCCTGCGCATTTTTGAAAATTTTTCTTATTAGTCGAACTGTTCATTGATCATGGCTACAATGCATTCTTATTGTGAACAAATTGATATGTTTTTTTTTTATCGCTTGGATCGCACGAAAGGGATTCCCTATAATGTTCAAAGAACATCGTGCGTTCCTAGCGATAGCTGTTCGGTAGGTAGGTTCAGAAGAGACGAAGAGATCATGAATTTTTTGTTAAAAATTATAAATTCAAGATGGCGGCTTCCAAATAATTTTTTGTTTTTGTATAAATGACGATAACTCCGTTGTTATCAACACAAAACTATTACTGCGACATATCATCTGTAAGAGAATAAAAAGTAACTAAGTCATAGTGAGCTATGACATACATTTGAAAAACTAAAGTTGGTGCTGATATATCAAAATCTAGAAGAGTTGGTATAAATTTCATATTTTTTTCGAAATCACTTTGAAAAACTACCATGAGAATGTGAAATTTCTATTTTTTTATTATCATAAATAAAGAAGTTGCGGAGGAGACATGAAAATGATCAAAATCTGTTTTTTGCCTATAAAACAAAAACGAATAGATTTTATCAAAATATTTTTTCACATTATAGTTGGCCTTGAGAAACTCCACATTTGGTGTCATTCAACCGACCTCGTATTTCTCACCGTTAAAAAGATACCCATGGTGAGCATGGTAAGTGGGACACACTGTATATATACAGGGTGAGTCATGAATAGAGGCACTTGAGGGAAATACCTAATGAACATCGGAAAGTGTATTCTCTTCTTTACCAATATATAGGGTGAATTATAAGATTTGGCAAAAACATCTTTTGGTCATAACTTTTCAACAGTTCCTTCGATTCTTCTGATTTTTTTCTACTAAACATTAATCGACTGACCTATTCAGAATCTGGAAAATCCAGGACCGTCTTTGAAAAATTTTGATAGTTTAGATTTTATCAAAAAGTTCATCCTGTATATGGTTTTTGTAAACTGTGACAGGAAATTTTCAAAGCACAGAAACACCGGTAAATAAATGTTAGAAGTGTACGAATTAAATATCATTATTAGGATGAGAAAATACGAATAACGTGAATTCCTAAGAGCTGACTAAGTGACCTTTCCCAACAGAATTTTGATAATTTGCGGATAATGGCTAATACATTTATTACGACATTGCACAAGAAAATTAATTTTATATTGTATTGTTTAAAGAAATTAGTATAAAAATAATATCACCACATTGTCGAATTGGGCAATGTTTAATTATTATTCCTGAAAACAGTCAAGGATTCGCATCACACGTTTTATTGCAGTTCTGTTGAATTGAGATGGCTTATTGTTTAAATTTAGAATATCAATATGGGGGCCAATGAACACTAGTGTATGTATGATTTTCATATTGACAATAGTGTCAAAATAGCATAGATACTTATCTAACTCATAATGCTGTGTTGATTGTACCAGTTTTTTTTTTTTAATCGATTGGAGCGCACGAAAGGGAATCTCTATAATGTTCAAAGAACATCGTGCGTTCCTAGGGAGGATAGGGACAGGAGGTAGGTATTGGATTTTTTTTTAATTTTTGGAGATTATATGTTGTTGGGAATACTTCCACAGGCAATGAATTCCAGAGCCTAGCCGTTCTATGGATGGAGGAGTCTTGATAAAGTGCTGTTCGACATCTTTCGAGGTTGACAACGAAAGGATGTGCTGACTGGGCTTGTCTAGTTCGTCTGATTGGTATTGCTAGTGAAGGGATGATTGCAGAGATTTCCGAAGAACATTTCCCGTGGAAGTATCGATAGAAAAGTGAAAGGTCGCCGACCTTTCTACGGTGTTCCAATGATGTCAAAGAGTGAGTGAGTGTGGCGTCACCCACCAGGCGAATGGCTCTTCTCTGGATGGAATCTAAGAGCATCAGCGTATGTTTTGGTGCTGAACCCCATATGTGGAAATAGTATTCTAGAACAGGCCGTATCAGCGCTTTGTAGATCATGAGAAGCTGTTGAGGTGTAAAGTAGCTTTTCGCACGGAACAAGAATCCGAGTTTTTGTGAAGCAGCTTTTGCGATGGATCTGACATGATTATCCCATGAAAGAGTGTTGCTGATGGAAATACCGAGCATAGATATGGTGGGCTTGGTGGGGATGGTGGAGCCAGACATTACAATATCGGGCATACTGAGTTCCGCCTTTCTAGAGAAAATGCAGGCTTGAGTTTTGGTGGCGTTGAATTCAACTAGGTTGTTCGTTCCCCAGGCTGTGATTTCAGCAAGATCTTCATTGACAGCATTGACCTGCCTGCGCCGTGAGTTCTTAGTATATCACCTGACGAACCTACTGTATTAGCGAAACATGTCGTGTGTTTGAGAATTTTGTAGAGATCTTAAAATTTTAATTTAAAACTTTTAATGAATTTTTTCGTCTTCATGATGTTGTAGTACACTTGTTCGCCATTTTCTTTTCAAGAATATTTAGCTGAAAATTTGTGTTTCTTCAATATCTATTGCATATTATCTCATAATTGAATTTTCAATCGATATCACACTTAACCATAGTTATAATAATTGCATTTCACTTGTTTTCGATATATCACTTCACATTATCAGTTTTGGCAGATCTTAGCTAAACAATTTTTCTTTGTAGATCAACTCTATTAGTTCTATGACTAAAAATGAATCTTTGAAACAAACTAATGAGAAAAAGTGGGATTTGGTTTGATGATAAATTGAAGTGGGACAAACATATAAATGTTTTGAAGAAAAAAATATCTCCTATTATTGGAGCCCTGAGAAGATGTCCCAAGCTGAATAAAAAAGTTTCAAATATAATTCTATATTCTCATATACTCAGTCGTATTAACTATTTGATAAATGTTTGGGGATATTGTTCAAAAAACAATTTTAATAAAATATCTGCATTATATAAAAAGACATTGAAAGTACTGTATCGTTTACCATATGATACACCAACAAATCAATTATATAAAATAACTGAATCATTCTCATTAGAAGAAATGTTCAAAATCGAAAGACTGAAAATTACATACAATATCATAAATAAAAGATTGAAATCTAATTTTATTTTAACACGAAACAATGAAATTCATAATTATCAAACTAGACAACATGGTTTATTTCATCTTGATATCGCTAATACTTCTATAGGCCAAAAAAGATTCACCCACGCTGCTCTCTTGGAATATAACAAATTACCAGATAATATAAAAAATTGCAGAAATACAATAAAATTCAAATACCATCTTAAAAAATGTATCATTTCTGAACGAAATAGATGACTTTTTTTTTTCCAACTTTTGATTCATATTCAAATTGATTTTTGCTCACCAATATGAAATGATTTGTCAAAATTTAATAATTAATGTTTTCAAATATTTTATTATTCATCAGTTTATTATAATTGTATAGTTTTAGGTATTATTGTTAACTATACTTCCTTATACCAGAACTTGATTCTGACTGGAAGTAACATTTTCAATAAATAAATAAATAAATAAATAAATAAATAAATAAAATGATGACCATTTGAATGGTCGAAACACGTCTCATGTCGCCAGTTGACTCGTGGAGACGACTTTGAGTTTTTATCTCGTTGATCATCCTCCTCCACGTCGAGTATGGACTACTTACTTCAGAAAATTATTATTAGGTCAAGCACGTGTTATGTATGTATGTACTATGTACAGGGTGATTCCAACGTCCTCCCCTTCGATCATAACAAAAAAAGTGAAACTGCAAACGCAAATTATTTGGCAGAAAGAATTCGAATAGCTGTGTGTGAGGTATATTTTTTCGTATTTAAACATATTTCAAATCTTTTTAAAATGGCGGAAATGACGTCAGAAAAATTATTTTTCCCACAAAGTCACCATTTTTTCGTAATATTCTGAAAAAACAACATTTTTAACATCTTTCATCCCGAAACTTTTTTTCTATCTTCATCAAGTTGATAGCTGTGGGACTCCAAAGTTGGCAGTTTCAAATAAACCTCAAATGACCCCGCCGTAATAAAAATCAAATCTGCAGGAAAACAAATTGTTTTGTGAGCAATTTGATAAATTTGATATATTTTGCATTCATTTCAAACCTATTGAAGCTGAAAACCGGCCGGCTCGGATTTTATTACGGCGGGGGTCAAGAATTATTTTCCCACAAAGTCACAATGTTTTCTTATGGTCTGGAATTTTTTTCTATCTTCATTTGGTTGATAGCTTTGGGACTCTAAAGATAGCATATTTAAATAAATCCCACCTGACCCCGATGTAACAAAAATCAAGTGGGCCGGTTTTTAGCTTCAATCGGTTTCAAATGAATGCAAAATGTATTAAATTGCCTACAAAACAATTTGTTTTTCTGCAACCGACACAAAAGTCGTCCATTTTGATACCAAAATTAGCTCTTAAATTGACGTTTCTATTACTGACACGAAAATAGGTATGTTGCTAGGCAACATATTTAGTTCCTAGGAGCTAAAGTTGAATTTTAGC